AAATTGAAAAAAATACTTGCACTTTGAAGGAAAAAAGGGGCGAATATTTTCACGAGACGTTGTTCGCCACCACAGCAATTCAAGTTTCAACTAAATTAGTCTAAATATATTGTATTTATTGTATCTTATGATTTAAAAATAAAAATTAAAACATTAAATATATACGTATTTTTATTATCAATCATAAAAATGCAATAAATATCATATATCTAGATATCCAGTTAGGTTGCTGTGGGAACAACGTTTCGTGAAAATATTCGCCCCCCTTGTCAAGTAGCCACGAGGAATTTTCGCGAAGATTGCGCGTGACTTTCAAATGATTTGTTTTTATTCCTATCCTGAATTTGTTGTGGGAGGTTTTTTCCTTCAAAGTGCAAGTATTTTTTTTCAATTTTTCTTTTAGGACTATTCTACAATGAAGTACTCTTGGATACTGTAATCTAAATACATATGAAGACGAAGAAGTGGCATTTATCGGGCAGAGAATCGGCGAGCCATTAAAATGGCGGCATATGGACGAAATATCGAAGGACACAATATCGAAGATAAAATACACTGCACTGCTTCAAAACTTGCCGAAACTTGGTTGAAATCTCCTTTAGCCATTTGCCATTATGTAAAAGTCAACAAGTGGATGTTATTTGTGAGACACAGCGATATAAAGCAAACAAGATGGCAAAATATGGCCGAAATCGTGTTTTCGTGGGGGGTAAGTGAAATAAAATATATTATATTTATAGAAAACAGTGACTATCCTTATGAAAACTGCAATAATTATATTAAATTAAGCATAGTTTTTCATCCCATGGTAATTTTTTTTAGGAAATAAGGATATTTAATTTCTGCCAGGCATATTAGTTATTTTCTGCATAATCAGCAATTTACCTGGGGTGATAAATGGTCATTTTCTTGTAAAATATTATACTTCCACAAATTTTTCCTTCCAATAACCACCCCTAAAAGCAACCCGTCTAAACACTGTAAGCACTTCAGAAAGGCTGTCGCTTTTGCTTTTCGGAAGTTAGAGCTATGTCGGCACTGCCGTTTCAGGGCGGGGTCATTTTCAGGACTTTCGTCCAGGATTCAGGTTTTGGCACATATGCCATGTTGACCGCCATGGTCATTTTACCCTAAAACAGTTGAGATTACCTGTGGTAAATGAAACGCATACAAACTCACATACAGGTCCTAGACTAAGAGTATATACCGTACAAATTACAATATAAGTAGCTAATATACATGTAATATATTGTTATATATATAATGCTAACCTCTAGTCTTGCATCCTTCTGAACAATCTTCCTGTGAATGTTTATATACAGATTTAGCTCTGTTTTTGTCTACTTCTTCCATAATTTTTTCGCGATCATCATCTTTCTTCATCAATCCAAAAAACTCTAAAGTGCCACTCTCCCTTAGCTCTTCCTCAAGTTCGCCGTTCCAAAACGCAGCCGCACATTGTTTCTCTCCAAAACCTACAGAGTCAGAAGGCAGTTGTGAAGCCAAAGAAGATATTAAAAACAAACAGCGCAAGTATATGCCGGGGAACTATATAACGACATTAAAACTGCTAACAAACTAAAATGACTCGCTATTGACATTATGACAAGTTATGAGCACAAAACCTTTAGAGTAATTCTGCTGATAAATAGAAGCAGTAAAATAGGTCAGAGCGGGCAGGATACAATATTAAATCGGCCGTTCACTTTCTGGTCCAGATAAAAACTGATACCGCATTCAGTCAAAGGTGTCGCAATACACATGCACACAGTGTTGTAATAGGCCGGTCTATATTCTAATAATATAGGCTGTGCGAGCCTTAAGCATGCAACAGAAACTGAATATGCTAAAATATTAATATACTATCAATTAAGCATTATATAGGCACTACAGCCATTGGAGCAAACGTAATATATGCACGATTATATATACCTTCGTCTTTGGACCCAAGCTGATCAAATACTTCATTGAATGCTGTGGAAAACCCAGAAAAGCTCACCCAACTATGATTTCTATTTTAATTGAGGCACCGTAGAAAAAAAGAGAACTAAAGTTACAAACAAGTATCATTTCCACGAGTAAGAAATTACTGAAGTTTCAAACATGCAATAACATGCCATGTTATCATTCACAGCCGGTATTGATGCAAAAAAAATCGTGGATGCAGTCAGTATTCATGCAAAACTGAAAATCATAACCCATATTAAACTTACGCTAAAGATATTTGCCATTTTAGTAGCGATCTCTCCACAAGACACACATCAGATGCTTCTACTGACGTTCTGGCTTCAGGATACAATTTCCATCCAGTTTCAGGGTTGCCATACTTTGAATAACCATAAAACATTTTGCACCGACTACACTTTAAGGATACTTTAATTCCTTCACTTGTACCATAATGATGATGGTACTGGACTTTTACTGGGTCATTATGACGGACTAACGACAAATTGCAATCAAGACAGTGTCCGTATGGCGGTGCAAATACATGAACTAGACTGGTATTTGAAGAATTTACCAGATTCGGCAGGTTCACCTTTCTCATGCATTTGAAAAGTGTTTCGGCGTCATTTCCAGATATATGTGGATGCAACAACTTCAAAACTTCCCCACGTATTTTTATAGGCAGTACACATAACGATGGGACAATATTAGCAAAAGCACAAACAGTGTTGAGACTGAATTTAACAAGTACAGCGCAAAAAATGATTTGTGCCGAAATGCAGTCTACCAAATTCAGATCAATAGCTCTAATATCACTTAACAATTTGTTATCAATTGCCTCTTGATCTATTTCTTGGTCTACTTCTTCTCGTAGACTTTCCACTGAAAAAGCTACTCGTTTAGAACGTTGTGACATCGCGTGTATATGTATCTAATCTGGCGAACGTGTTATTGAGCACCAACTGTGCAACAGTCAATGTAAAAACGTTTGTGGGGGGAGATTGGTTGGTTTCGGATACACTCTCATAATCAATTATATCGGATAAACTATTTCTAATTACCCCGAAGGGCAAATGCCAAAAGCAGCACGTCAAAGGAAAAGTTAATCCACATCCTTCGCCATGGAAATACAATTTTCAACTTGGGTATATGCCAGAAAGCATCGTCTACTCTGATAAGGATACTTAAATCTGTCAAAGCCCATATTGAGGAATTCGCTAGATGGGCAGGTTTGTTTGGACAACTCAAGTACGCTTCAACACACAAGTAAACTCAGTAAACTGATTTCGCAGACATGTGCAATTCTACAGCATTCATAATCAAGAATATGTCATTAAACCAGCAGATAAGGGAGGTGCCATCGTCATATGGTCAACGACTTATTATGAAAAGGAGGCACTCTCTCAACTCAATGACAACAAATATTATGAAAAAATACAGGCCCAGCCAGACATGATCATCACAGCACAAACCAACACAATTACCAATTACGTCAAGGATCTCTTCAAATTTGGAGACATTGACTACAAAACACTCAAATACCTATTGCCACCCTCACCACCACGCATACCCATCTTTTACCTCTTACCAAAAATACACAAGCCCAATAACCCAGGGCGACCAATCATATCAGGATGCGATTCACCCACGGACAGGCTCTCCTCATTCATCGACACACACCTCAAACTATTATGCAGTTCACTTCCCTCCTACATCAAGGACACCAATCATTTTCTACAAACCATATTCAACATCACCACACCATTACCACCTAACACCATTCTTGCCACAATTGATGTCAAGTCACTCTACACCAACATTCCACATGATGAAGGGATCTGTGCAACACTAGAAGCACTAGATACCAAACATGGACGCATGTGGCCACTCCGCAAAGTAATACATCAATTCCTGATACACATCCTAAAAGAAAACTATTTCACATTCAATGATCAACTTTACTTACAAAAACATGGCACTGCCATGGGCACCAAAATGGCACCATCATTTGCAAACATCTTCATGGGTACATTAGAAGAATCACTTCTGTCATCTGCACCAGATCACCTCATACCCCTCCTATGGAAAAGATTCATTGATGATATATTTTTGATCTGGACACATGGAGAGGAATCATTCCAAACATTCATTACACATCTCAACTCAGCACACCCCACCATCAAATTTGAAATCTCACACTCCACCGAGAGTGTCAACTTCCTCGACACCACAGTTTATGTCACTCCACAAAAAACACTTGCTACCACACTCTACATTAAACCCACAGACCGCATGCCACTCCTACATCAATCATCACACCATCCAGAAACATGCAAAAAAGGCTTAATATATAGTCAAATGCTGAGATACAGGAGGATAATCACTAGTGACAAAGAATTCCAAGAAAAGGCACAAAACCTCTGGGTCACACTTATTGGAAGAGGATATAAAGATAAGGATATTCTCCCTCACATCAACAAAGCCTCATCATACACCCAGTCACAATTACTCATAAACACCACACCCAAAAACAACACACGAACATTACCATTCGTCATTCCGTACAATCCAGATCTCGCACCACTCTCACACATTCTCACACAACACTGGCATTATATTGAAAACGATCCTGTTTTATCACGTGTATGGCCAGAACAACCAGTCATAGCCTACCAACGTCACAAAAATCTCAAAGAACACTTCGTCCGCACCAAATTCACCCAATCACCCACATTGTCTCACCAACATCACATGCCAAAATAAACACAACCCCCTCCCTCCTACCGGCCCCCTCAACACACCCCATACCCACCAAATGGATGTATCAAACAAACAAGGATCAACGATATGGAGATCTACACAATAAACCGAGATACCCACCTCCAGCTTATCCAAGACTGGGAAATCAACTCAAATCACATCTACAGCATACAGTTGAAATGAACAGGACAAGACAATTTCCTGTAAATTCATACCAGTACATTCTAACACTATGAACTAGGGAAGGCCTCCCATGAAAGACACCGAATTGGCGAATCCACAGGGAAATCCATAACCCAAATCCGAACATGTGTAGGATATAGTCGGCTTACAATCAATTACTTAATCGATCAGAACATTCCACCAATCAGGCAACCAATGTAAATAGTTTTAGAACAAAAATTCCACCAATCAAATTAAACAATCAAATCTGTACATACTATAATCCAAACACTTCACACAGTTCAATTTAATCAACACACAATTAACAAATAAAAGTATACAACCACAGACCGATTTATTAAATTCACACCACAGCATCACCTATTATACGGTTATATATAATTTTTATATATTTTTTATGTACTTTCTGTATATCTTTTATATATACTTATATATCTTTATATACATATCCACCCAAAACCCAGACCAAAAATCCACCTGAAATATTCCTGACCAACCATCCCAACATCATAAGAATATCTCACCATTCACTTTCAAAAAACGAGAAATAAAAGGCAAAAAATCTTTGTCGCAATTCGGCCACAAAGCCATCAAAACAATCTTCAATAGTATCTGTTTTAATCACCATTCACCATCCACAAATATTAATTACAAATTTCGTGGCAGAAAGCCTTTTGCCACACACTGCGCCACGGAGCATTCACAATATATATCACACACCACCGTCACTTCCATTTCGAACTACCATTCACCTTTCAAAGAACGAGAAATAGACGGTAAACCACTAACAATGTTGTGGCAAAAAACTTCTGCCACAAACTCTGCCATTACAGAGCTATCATAACATCAATATATCCCTCGCTATCCACTTCAACCTCTCAATAAACATTTTCATCCGATGTTTCCACTTTCATCAGGGACACATTCTACAACATTTACACACATAACCCACTCTAAACTTCGCAAACCTACAGCACTGTTAAAAACTAACTCAATCCACTATCCTGAGCAGCAATCCAGACCTAACCCAATCCCCACCGGAATTTTAACCCCAAACCACATTCCAAACCCGTGTACACACCATCAACTAACCCTCCCCAACCAAGCCACCCTAATCCCATCCCAACCCCTCACATCTCAGTCTTCCCCCCCCCCCGACGTAATTCTAGAACCCCTCGCCCACTAAAAATTCCTTTTCGCCTTGCCTACACGCAAAGTACGCTCTACGACATCTATCAGTAAGTAAATTTCATTTTTTACATTCCGTAACCTTAAATTACCACATTACGCATTACAAAGAATACATTTCACCCATTACACCCATTACAAAGAATACATACCAAATTCAACCAATTTTCACACTGTTCCTAGGCGAAATAATCAACAGATTTTTTCGCGCAAACACATGTCATACATGTATAATTCATATAAACGGGAACAGAAATGAATATTTGTATGCGGGCACGTAGTTCCAAGACCAGCTAGCGGGGTCGAAACGTGCTTTCCCGGTTATGCTTGGAGCCTGCATGATGAGAACATAACCTTGGTTTTGAACACAAAACACATGGGAATTGGCCTGGGTGGCGATACACTGGCATTCACCCAGGCCTTGGCAATATCACAATACATCACATCAACGCACCCGGGTTATGCCTGCGCGATCATCACAAGAACAATCAATCAAGTCATACACAACGCAGTTTTACTATTCATGTATCAATTCAGCTTAAATGTTCAGACTTTCGTATCACTTACACCATTTTACAATTTATATATCACCAGTATCATCACTGTTTGTCTACATTATAACTCAAGCTTCACCAACATCATCACAGTCCATGCATCATCATAACATAATTCACAAGAATCATCAGTATCCACACCATTCCAACTCGATCAGTCACATTGAATCGAAATTTCATTTCACTCCATACACCATTTGATATTCACCCAATAAAATGTCCCAACAGGTCAGCAGGGCCATTTCGCAGCATTCCAGGATCTGAATACCTGCAACCACCTTTTTGATCCAATTCCAAAAGTAAAACAAACAAAAAAACTAGCCAAACAGAGCTAGTGTTGCAGTGTTTCTTGTACGCACATGCTTTCAAAACGGCTTCTTGTGTAACTTTATTGCTTTATTACAAAGTTTTTTTTCTCGTTTCTGCTTAGAAAATATAAACACAATGACGGAATACCAGACTTAGTTTAAAAACCAGTTTCTGTTTAGCATTAATTTGTTCAGGAAATGGCTGAGAAATTTGGTAATTAATGAAATGTAAAACTATATTGTTTGAAATAAAGTTTCAGTAATACACTTTTTACTTTAAAAATTTCGAAAACACAATACAGCGTCAGGAGACCATAGAGCAGAATGAAAACATGACGTATCAAAAGAAATAGTACCGTAAAAATTGATATATAAATATATATATATATATATATATATATATATATATATATATATATATATATATATATATATATATATATATATATATATATATATATATATTACATATATATATATATATATATTACATATATATATATATATATATATATATTGATATATATATATGGTATATATATATATGATATATATATATATATATATATATATATATATATATATATATATATATATATATATATATATATATATATATATATATATATATAGGATAAAAAACAAAATAGCTTTAAACCCTTTAACGCACAGTGTCCAATATATCGGACACCTTGAGCCTGTATTCATTGTGACCCACTGATGCCTCCGTGAGGGACCTGTATTATACTTCATGTTATTCAAATGTTCGGTACTGTCATACGCACATTTTAAGATATTATTGAACGAATTATGCCTTTTGAAACGATTTTTATGAAAGAAAGAAGATCTATCCCTTTAAATAACTGCTGTAACGTGAGTAAACAATGTTTATAATGCAAGGATAAGTGAATATTGCGTGTTAT